GACACTTCAAGCAGAACCAAGAAGCTCAGACGGGCCGCTTCCGAGGAACAATTGTCTGTCACTGGCAGAGGAAACTGCATGAAGGCCCGCTTCCGAGGAACAATTGTCTGTCACTGGCAGAGGAAACTGCATGAAGGCCGAGGGAGCCTTCCTGAGCACAAGCGCCTCGCCCACCACGTAGATCAATCACCTGGCTACGGAGATGCAGGGCTTTTATGCTCCCCGATTCGCATTCCAGCACCAGGGAAAATGAGATTTTAAAGAGGAAACTGTGGCTGATTTTGGTTTCCTTTTACCAGCAGAGAGGCAGCCCAGGTGGGCGCTGTAAGAGAGACTGGATCGCCTCCCTCACATGGCTCAAATGACTGGGCACTTCGCCCCGTTTTTCTTCTGCTTTCCAAACACTGGCAAGGGGGAAGGAGGCTGGGGGAAATTTATGACCTCTCTGAACCCTCAGGGCCCTGAGCACCTGAAAAGCCAGACTTGGAGAATCTGGCTCCCAGCTTTTTTTTAACTAGGGCAGTGGTTCTCAACCTGTGGGTCGGGACCCCATTTGGGGTCGAACGACCATTTCACGGGGGTCGCCAAACAATGCAGTCCGCCATTTTTTCCCCCTTTTCCTTGGCTGTGCTCCTCCCTTTTATTCTATCGGCTTTTGAAAGCCAATAGAAGAGACTCTCTTGAATAGAGTCTAATTCTATTGGCTTTCCAAAGCCAACAGGAATTGTCCAGGCTGTCTCTGCCCTGCTGAGCCCGCCAAAAGTCCCAGTCTGCAAACGGCGCTGCACCAGTTGAGTAGTCCTTGACTTACGACCGGTTGAGTAGTCCTCGACTTACAACCGGTTGGGGGGGTCGCGGCATTAAAAAGGTTGAGAACCACTGGTCTAGGGGAAACCAGAGGCTGGGCACAGGGCCACCTTTCCGCTAAGGCAGTGTTTCTCCACCTTGACCATTGGAAGGCATGTGGACTTCAACTCCCAGAATTCCACAGCCAGCAACGCTGGCTGTGGAATTCTGGGAGTTGAAGTCCACATGCCTTCCAATGGTCAAGGTGGAGAAACACTGCACTAAGGTAACCTCAAGCAACTCAGCAAAGGAGTTGGCTAAACCCCAAACTGGCAGGATTCTTAAAGGTGGCCACAGGAAGGAATGGTGGCTCAAGGAACTCAGCGGCGGTCATCCTCAGAAACCACCTCCCCCGTGGAAGCCCTCCCTGGGAGAAGATGAACCACCTTCCTGGTGACCGAACGGCTGCACGGGGGGACTTGCCAGCAGCTTCCAGGCGGGAGTCAGAGGCGGCCCAGAAGGCGACAGACCAACCTTGCAGGAACCTGCCTAGTCCCCAGGGCTCCCCTGGGAGGAGCTGCTCCACGTATGAAGCCCTGGCGATGTCACAAGGCTGGAGCTTCCTCCTCGGAGGCCCACACTGTCCTCCACAGGCCTTAGATCTGGGGCCGAGGGCGACATGAAAGAGGACGAGCAAACAAGATCCTCTCCGGACAAGAGGGAGCGAACACAGGAGGGTGATTCAGCCACCATGTTCTAGATCGGAAACCTGGCAACTTTACGACTCGTGTCCTCATAGACCAGGGGTCTTCCAACCTGGCTCTTTGATGACTTGTGGACTTCAACTCGTGCCTGGCTGAGGAATTCTGGGAGTTGAAGTCCACAAGCCGCAAAGTTGCCAAGTTTGGAGACCCTTAATGTGGATGGAACTGCCCTTTGCCTGCTAAACCAGGAGTAAAGTGGGAAAGAAATAGAATAACATAGAAGAAGAATAAAGTATAATAATCATAATAATAATAATGAAAAAATCACTAAAAGCAAAAATCATGTGTCTGCATAATCTCTGAAAGAAAGCTGTGTTAGCCAAAAGCTGTATTAACAGTACGTGAATGACCTAATGCATATTTAGAAACATTGTATAAAAGTAAAAACTGCCTTCATTGTTATTCCCATGAGAAATGGACCTAACGTGTGAGAAACTATCTGAATGTTACACAAAGTAGATTCCATATACAATGTAAGATTCCATCTATGCTTCCTTTGTTCCTGAGAAAAAGAAACCTACAAAGCTTTAGTTTAGACCCTCCCCCTTGTTCAGAAATTTGTTGATTGTTAAATCACTTCTGAACCTTTTTGCGCAAAAATAAAGATCTCTCTTTCACCCATGGAATTTCGTAAAAGCCCTTTATTTTTTAAGGCTTTATTTTTCCACAAGAGGAGGATGGGTGTTGCATCCCTCCACGGCTACCCCCATCATCCCTCACGATGGACCAAGCTGTCGGAGAGCTGGCCATTCATCAGTATGATCTATACATCTTTCTGAGCACCAGCACACAAAATAAATAACACGAGCCTGGGTAAGTCTTAGCCAGTGGTCCCAGCCACTCTCCAAAGAGGAGAAGCAGAAGCTCCCTCCGGGGCTTCCTCAGGACCAGCTGGGCAGGGCGAGCCCAGAAGGCAACTCCTGGGCCTAGAGGGGGAGGCTCAGGGAAGGGAGAGTGGAGAAAGGGGGGAAGTCTGCTGGTCCAGATGGCTCTCTTGGTGGGAGGAAGTGTTTGGGAAATGGCTCCTCCCTCTCCAAGACCTTCCAGACCAGCGGAGTCATTCAAGGCTCCTCTTTCTGGAACAGAAGTGAGACTCCCTTTAGTTGAGCTTGACTTCTAAGGTCTACGGCAGGGGTCTTCCAACTTGGCCCTTGGATGATTTGTGGACTTCAACTCCCAGAATTCCTCAGCCAGGCACACGTGCCTGGCTGAGGAATTCTGGGAATTGAAGTCCACAAGTCATCCAAGGGCCAGGTTGGAAGACCCCTGGTCTATGAGGACACGTCTCAGGAAGGCTGTCACTTGGGGAATTGATGGCAAAGGGCAGAAACTTTCTGAGAGAGAATGAATCCGTTCACGTTCAAACGGGAAGCAGAATTGTGGTTGAGGGCAAAGTGCATTAAATGCTTATTTTGTTATGGTGGAACAGACCTAGCATGTAAGGAAAGGTTGATGGAATTGGGCATGTCTAGTTTAACAAAGAGAAGGATGAGGGGGGACAGGATAGCAGTGTTCCAATATCTCAGGGGCTGCCCCAAAGAAGAGGGAGAAGCTATCCTCCAAAGCGCTTGAAGGCAGGACAAGAAGCAACAGATGGAAAAACTAATCAAAGAGAGAAGCAACCTAAAACTAAGGAGAAACTTCCTGACAGAACAATTAACCCGTGGAACAACCTGCCTCCAGAAGCGGTGAATGCTCCAACATTGGAAGTTTTAAAGAAGAGACTGGACAGCCATTTGTCCGAAATGGTGTGGGGTTTCCTTCCTGAGCAGGGGGTTGGACTAGATGACCTCCAAGATTTCTTCCAACTTTATTATTATTAATGAAGACTACCATGAAGGAAAAAAAAAACCCTCCAAGAACTTAAAGCATTACTTTACTTCCTTCCTGGTTGAGGAAATGAGGAAAACCGGTGTGGATCTGCCACGAGAGGCAAAGAAATAAGGTGGGTGCCAGGGGGTGGGTGCCAAGGACTGGTCATTCACCAAGATGGAGAGGCAAACCTGGAGGTTATAAGATAATGAGATCACAGCCGAGGCAAGAGAATTGTTAGCAGACATGGTAAATATTGCAAGGAAATCAGAACCGGGCTCCATCCAAGGGGAGGGAGGGAGGCCACTCCTGGAAGGGTGAGGAGGAGAAAAAAAAATGTGGGCCTGGAAAAGGTAGAAAAGGCATGGAGTTGGTGGGGGGGGGAGTTCAGTGCTCCACCTCTGAAGGAGACCAAGGCAGCTGGGAAGAGGACCCAGGCCCGGGAGCGAGGGGCACCCAGCTGTGACTGCTGGGGAGACGACCTGTGCCTGGAAGATCCCATCCGAGTAGCTGATTTGGACTGGGGACAGGAAGGAGGATGTGCAGCAGCAGCCAAGAAGAGGAGGGCGGAAACCGTCCCTGGGACTTTTGCAAGGCAACTGAGGATGCAGAGTTGGGGAGGGGGTTCACTTATGATTTTAAAAGTGCTGGACTTCAAAAAGAGTCTGCCTCTCTGAAGGGAAGCAGGGGAGACCGCATTCCTCTCAGGAAAGTGTGGGGGGGGCATTCATTCCCACTGAACTGTGTGGTTATTATTATTCATTGTTATTCATGGGTCATGTTCATCTGATTGTAGATCTGCATGGTTGTTCAATGCAAGTGTAAAATTGAATTCTGAATCCGGGTTCTGAATTCAGGTAGCATGATAAAGCTGTGCTGCCTATGGACATATCTCTCTCTCTCTCTCTCTCTCTCTCTCTCTCTCTCTCTCTCTCTCTCTCTCTCTGTATGTGTGTGTGTGTGTGTACACGTACACAGCATGCTGCTGGTAAGGTTTTATAGCAGGTTTAATGAGAATAAATTCAATAATTCTATATTGGGGTGGGGAGAGGGAGGAGAGGGAGGGCAGTGGCTGTGTGTATAAATTTATGAATCAGGGCCAGCTGCAGAGTTAGAGGTGAGTGAGTTTACACAAGCCCTATTTACAATAAAAGTTTAATTCTTGTTCCTTCCAGTACACAAGAACAGGCCGTGACTCTCACACTTTTGGGCAGGAGAAACAGCAGCGCAGGAGCCGTTGGCCTGTTTGCTTCCAGCCTCGCCACAATTAGTACATCCCATTCATTCATCCCGTTTTTGTTCCAGTTAAAAGTTACAAGAATGCAAGTTTTAGGAACATATAGATTCCTGCACCTGATTTCCCCTCAAACGTCACCTTGTGTCAGGGAAACAAGGACGCCAAGAAGAGCATTACGAGACTCGGTCAGAGAGAAAAACAAAACAACAGAAAGCCAGGAGACCAGGATACGGCCAAAAGAGTTTTTCAAGAGTTATTTCAGCTCCTTGGATGCTGGAGGCCCTGCTGGCCAGGAGGGGGCACTAGAACACAGAGGAAGGGAGACTTCCCAGATCCAGAGCGTGTGCCTCCCCCCCCCAAAAAAACCTTCCCTCCCCTCCCCTCCCCAGGCACCTACGTACTGCTTCATGGCGATCAGCTTGGAGTCCATGCTCTCTTGCTTGCCCTTCATCAGCTGGACATCGGTCAGCAACTGGGTCATGCTGTCCTGGCGAACCTTGATGTCCTCGTTCTTTATGCTGGACACCTGGAAGGAGGGACGGAGGGAAGCATCGCTCAGTGGGGCCCACCCCTTGCGGAGGAGGAGAAGAGCCGGCGGGCACCTCAGGTGCAAGAAGTCGGGAACCAGGACAGAGTTCAAAAGTACTACAGGGAGTCCTCGGCTTACAACCGTAACTGAGCCCCAACTTTCTGTTGCTAAACGAGACACTTGCAAGTGAGTTTTGCCCCAGTTTACGACCTGTCTTGCCACAGTTGTTAAACAAATCACTGCAGTTGTTAAGTTAGAATCATGGTGGTTAAGTGAATCTGGCTTCCCCATCTGGCTGTGCAACAGTGTTTAGCAATAAGGGCAGTCAGACATATACACACCGCGTCACAGGATGCTCTCTCTAAGCAGTTTAGAGTCTGCATACTGACCACAACAATCTGGGTCCTCATTTTACTGACCTCAGAAGGACCTCAACCCTGAACCTCATCAAGATTGATCTCCTGTGTACCACCATGACTTCTTTCCTTCTCATTTCCTTCCTTCCTTCCTTCCTAACCTGGCAACTTTAAGGCTCGCGGCTTCAGTTCCCAGGATTCCCCAGCTCAGCCATGCTGAGTTAAAGTCTCAAAGTCGCCAAGTTTAGAGACCCCTGATCCTGGTAATAGTTGTCCCACGGGGTTGTTTTTTTTTAATTATTATTTTTTAAATGGCAACTGGACTTTCTTGGTAAAGAAATTTGAGTTGCTTTTTGGGGAAAAAAGCACCCTTGGAATAAAGCTTATGTATAATAGGGCTAAATCTCAGAAATGCAAGTGTCTTAGCACAGGGCGTCTGTGTGCTGGAGGGAGTCGGTAAGAGCTCTGCGTAGCTCTTCGTCTTCTTAATTAGGACAAAAGGCAGCCTAATTATTTGCATCCTCCTCTTCTTTCAATGAGTACTTCTGAGAAAGTGTCCTTAGAAGAGCAATTCTAAACTCAAAAAAAGGAATTGGGGGCACATCCTAGGAATGTCTTTAGCAGCCCCAGAGAGTAGATTCAATCCACTGCCATCCTTGGCCAGCAGCTCTCTGCCAGCAGAAGAACCAGGACAGGAGCAGATCCTTAAGGCCTCAGCATCCTTCTCTGGCCATCTGCCTCCTCAGCATCAATGAAGCAGACAGTGGAGCAAGTCCCCTTTTCATCAGCATCCCAGAAAGAAAGACAGATTGGAAGCCCCCTTCGGCCTTTCAAGCACCGGGCAAGAGAGGTTTCCCCCCCTCCCAGAGAGGGAAGTCTCCTTGGAACCTCAGCCAGCAGCTGTCACGGCCGACTTACGTTGGTGACTTTCCTCTTGATGTTCTCCAGGAGATGTTCCTGGCCACGGAGGAAGTAGGGGTGCTGGAATTCAGTGTCATCCTTCTCGGGCTTGACCAGCCCGCCCTGCTCGATGTGGATCACCTTTCGGAAACCGTCTGAAACATAAAGAGGCAAAGCTTGTTGGCAGCCAGACCAGAGGAGACTGGAGAAGCTGACCCACCGGTCACGTATCGCAGGCGTCTCCAACCTTGGCAAACTGTACAACTTGTGGACTTCAACTCCCAGAATTCTAAGGGCCGAAGTCCACAAGTCGTAAAGCTGCCAAGGCTGGAAAGCCCTGATGTGCACCATCGTGGGATGCTTCTGCTTCCAAGACGCGCACATATTTAATACGCTGTGGTTTTTATGAGCCAACCTTCCAAATGTCAAGTAACGAAAAGGACACGCTTTCCGCCCGTAGATAGAAAGGGGGCCTTTCGGAGAAGCATGAAAAGGGTTGCAGACCGGAGCAGGACTCCTCAACCAGAACAGCCTCCCGGAAGCATCAGGTGGGCCCGATTTGAAGCAGGACCTACAGGCGATCCATTTGTCGTTGCTGCTTCCTGGTGCTCCTAGTCTGTGGAGATTCTCCATCATCCGGGTCACGGCTGTCCCAAAGGTGCTTTTTTCCAAAAGGCAGCAGAACTTTGTTGGGTTTTTCCCCCCCTTGAAAACATTTCACTTCTCAGCTAAGAACCGAAGAAGCTTCTGGGAGGAGAAGTGAAATGTTTTCAAAGAAAAAAAAAAGACTGGTTGCCTGTGGGAAAAAGCACCTTTGGGATAATAGCTCTTAGCTGTAGCCTTCATCTTTGGGATCAGTTCAGCTCCAGAAAGGCCCTTCCCCTCCAAAAAGGTGAGATGAAGAGGACCCCTGCCCTTCAGGGAGGAGGGGAGCGTCTGCAGGGCCACCAGCACAGGCTTTCAGCCCTTTCTTCTGCCAAGGGCACGCTGCCCGGCAAAAGCCAACGTCGCTGTTTGTGAACACACACACAGCACCAGAGAACAAAATGCTAGTCATCAGGGCTCAATTCAACGGGACTCACCCGCCTGGGACGGCTATTTTTAGGGACGGGGCTTCTCTGCCGTCCCTTTCAGAAGAGGCTCCAAGGCAGATGCCATTACAAAAGCTGCGTGCCAAGCAAGCAGCAAATTTGGGGGGGGGGGTTGCATTCTAAAAATAGGCAGGCTTTCTCCTTCCCTAAAGAATGGGAGAGCGGTTAGAGAGCTGCAATTGTTACAGGCAATCTGATTACTGCTTCTAGGCTGCAGGCGTTGTCTGGCAGGGAGGCCTATGGATGGAAGCCCACGGATGTCCCAAATTCTCGCTATTCTTAATCTTAACTAGAAAAAAAATAGTAAATATTATGTTAGGAACCCAGGACCTTTGGGGTCCATTGCCACAAAATGATGCTCGGTCCTGCTAAGGAGAAACTGAGGGTAGGGATTTTTTAAAAAACGTACCCCCAAACTGAAACGATAGCCATAGCAACAGCCCTTAGACTCATATCCCGCTCCACCGTGCTTTACAGCCCTAAGCGGTTCACAAAGTCAGCATATATTGCCCCCCAACAGTCTGGCTCCTCATTTTACCGGCCTTGGCAGGACGGAAGGCTGAATCAACCTTGTGCTGGTCGGGATTGAACTGCTGGCAGTGGGCAGAGTCAGCCTGCAATGCTGCCATCTGACCACTGGGCCACCAGGCCTCTTTAAAGCAGGGGTCTTCAAACGTGGCCCTTTGATGACTTGTGGACTTCAACTCCCAGAATTCCTCAGCCAGCAACGCTGGCTGAGGAATTCTGGGAGCTGAAGTCCACAAGTCATCAAAGGGCCACATTTGAAGACCCCTGCTTTAAACAATAAGCCCCTTAAATGTTTATTTCCCATTTCATGCTTCAAGGGCATTTTGTGAAGAGCAGGAAGAGCAACTTTCTCTTCCCTGATGCACCCCACATCAAAAGATGCCACTGCTGTGCACCATGGTCCGGGCCTTGACTAAACTCGAAGAAAACCCCAAGAAGCCTCCCCAGGGCAGCGCAGGCTACCAGGGCAGAGTGCCGTCTCCTCTGGGCACGCCACAAGCAGCCCTGAAAGAGGCATCTCAGGGGTCCCTGGAAGACCTTCCCCGGGCGGTGAGCATACTCACACATGTTCAGCTGCCGCACAAAGCTGGCCATGTTGTTGTGTTTGAAATATTTGGGGAGGACCTCCTTGGCAAACTGGCCTTGGTCGAAAACATGGAAGCTGTTCCCACTCTGGAACGACAGAGAAAGGAATGAGTCCGTCGGCTGGCCGGAGCAGGGCCGGGGGGGAGGGGAGCCGTGAAACAGAAAAGCTTAGATACACATCGGTAGTCCTCGACTTACGACCACAACTGAGCTCAGCGTTTCTGTCATTAAGTGAGACAGCTGAGTTTTGTCTCATACTACAACTTGTCTTTCCCCGGTTGTTAAGTGAATCATGGCAGTTGATGGGTTAGTCACATGCTGTTAAGCGAATCCTGCTTTCCCCAGGATAGAAAGGTCAAAAAATGGGATCACGTGACCCCCCCCCGGGACACTGCAACCGTCATAAATGTGAGTCAGTTGTCAAGCGCCTGAATTTCAATCACATGACCGTGGGGATGCTGCAACGGCTATAAGTGTGAAACTTTTTTTGGGTGCCACTGTAACTTTGAATGGTCGCTAAATGAACGGTTGTAACTCGAGGACTCCCTTATAGGGCAACCTTTTCAGCTCAGTAAGCTGCAACTACGGGCAGGAGGCAGGTTCAGGCAACCAGGCGCCGCATGTGAAGTGAGCGGCGCCTGGTTTTATGATCTTTTCAATCTCTGTATGTGTAAACTTGAATAAAACTATTGTAAAAATATCAGCATGCTGTTGGTTAGAGCCTAATCCTGAAGCTTATTAAGGTCTGCCTTGAGTTGCTAGCAAATATTTCCTTCTCCACCACCTTGGCTTCATTTGCTAATCTGATGAGCCTCCATCCCTTCCGTCCATCGTCCATCGTCTGTCCCTATGAAGAGCTCTCAGCCTAAGGCAGAATCTGGAGGAAACACACACACACACACACACACACACACACACACACACAAAACTACATTCCTCCCTCCCTGCAGACATAAATCCATTAAGGAACTGATGTTAGATATATTGTTCAACCAACTCCAAGTCCACCTGGTAGTGAGACTACTCATTCCATATTGCTCCATTTTACTGATAGGGAATCCATGATCAAGACTGTCAATATTATCAAATGCTGTACTGAAGTCTAAGTACACTACGTCCCTGGGTCTACTAATCTAATAATTTTGTAAGAGACAGTCAGGGCATTGAGATCTCTAGCCAGTTCAACAAGTTCCACGAGAAGAACTGACCCATTTCAACTGTCACCGACTTTGGGGCCACATCTGCTCCAGGGCCAAAGCTTTAGCAGCCAAGGTGAGTCCAGGGATCTCTACGCACAGCGCTGAGACCGAGTAACACAAAGACACGGTTTCTGAATTTTTTCCTCCCTCTGACCCATCCCCACGAGAGAGAAAGGCAAGCAAGGACACAAGAATCAGCGTGGGGCCAACTGCAGGTGGCATATAGTGAATCAAGGAAAGGGTCTTGAAGTACAGAAGATTCAATATCCAGATAAACAATCGAGATAAACAAAACGTTTGTGCAAAAACTCTTGACGAGGGAGAAAAGGTAGCAAGTCAGACAAGCAAGATGCTGTTACTACAGCTCTTGTACTAGAAGTGGCTTTAGGACAGTGTTTCTCAACCTGGACAATCTTAAGGCATGTGGACTTCAACTCCCAGAATGCTGGCTGTGGAATTCTGGGAGTTGAAGTTTACATGCCTTAAAATTGTCTAGGTTGAGAAACGCTGCTTTAGGAGGCCTGCCTGGGGTCCGTCTCTTCGTCTGATGTAGGCCCGGCAGGAGCCACCAGGGAAATAAGGCTGCAGCTTTATTTACTCAGCTGGTTCTACATGACAGACTAACCACCTTTGCTTTAATCTTGGTTTGTTGAACTAGCCATAAATTATTGGATCGACTAATTAGGCTCTGGTATAACATTTGAAGGTCACAATGAATTAGTTCATTCAACCCTATATAAATATGATGAAATAAATAAAATCAAAATCATTTAAGCTAAAAGAACTCATATGCAGGTAGTCCTCCACTTACAACTGTTTGCTTAGTTACACCAGTGAAAAAAGTGACCAATGTCCGTTTTTCACACCTGGGACCATCGCAGCAGCACCCCCAGGGTCACCTGATTAAGATCCCAAGGCCTGCCAACTGAATTCATATTTACAACAGTCGCAGCGTCCCAGAGGGGTCACGTGACCCCTTTGGCGGCCAGCTGACAAGCAAAGTTAACGGAGAGGCCGGATACACCTAGCAACCGTTACATGAATTCACTTAACGACCGTGACAAGAAAGGTTGCAAAACGGGGCAAAACTCACTTAACAAATGTTTCGCTTTAGCAACAGAAAATGTCAGGCTCAACTGGGGTCCTAAGTGGAAAGCCCAGCCTGGGTCTTATCTGCAATTCCAGGGGCTCCACTGGTCCAGGACTGGCAATCAGGCCAAATCCGAAAGGACGGCCCTTTCCCAAACCCACTCCGGAGCCCATCCCTGTGTTGGGGGGGCCCTCTGACCACCCCCAGGCCATGCGTGGAGCCACAGCCTTCCGGCCATCCAGCCACCTCGGCCTGTCTTCCAGCAGGTAGTGGCTGGTAGCAGCAACCAGTGAAGGGTCTGCTCTGGTGTTTTTTTTCTTCTTCTAAAAAGGCATATGTTTTGTGAAGCAAAATGACCTTATTTCTACAGCTCATAGAGCAGGAATTTTATGGCCAAAATATAATGATGTCTACAGAAGAAAAGGAAATGTTTTTCAATCTGGCAGAAGAACATAAGAGACCGTTGTACAACTGGATTTTCTTTCATGGCAGGAAGAAACACCGCCGTTGAGTCATCTTCCCACTGAGACAATTCCACATGGTTGGAGAACAAACGCACCAGGGAGGAAGACCTGGCTGTGCCACCCTGGACTCCCCAAACTACTCCTTGGTCCTGGCATCCTCCACCCTCTGTCCTGCACCGTTCAGGCTTGCCTGGATCTGGAAGGCAGCCCTCCCTGCTTTTAGTGCCACTGTTGACGGTTTGTGGGCAATCTCACAACCGCCTTCCCTGGCCTTTTCCAACGGACTGCAGAGCCAGAGCGTAATACCATCCTTATGCAAGGCTGGAACTGATGAGGCTACCATCCGCCTAATTAACACCTTGCCACACATCTCTATTTTGTGTAAGCAGGGTAAAAATAGGTCCATTACATCATCCCCCATGTTTCAGGCTTCTCAGGTGCCCCTGTCTCTACTCTGCTGGGTCTTTCCTTCTTTCTGAAGACAAAAAGGTCTCCGCTCATCAGGCATTTCCTTAACTGTCTGAGTTATCTCAAAGACAACACACAAGGCTTCAACCAATCACCATCTGGTTCCCCAAGAATGCTAGGATGCAATTCACTAGGTTTGGGGGAACTTAAATTCATTTAAAGGGCTATTTCCTGATAAAACAAATACACGGGAAGTATAAAGAGGACATCTGCTTTTGGGTACCTGTCAGTATTTTGCCTCCTTTGGGGAGCAACTGGCCTGCTGCTTTGATTCCCTTTATTTTTTAACCTATCTAAACAAAAGTACTCTTTTGTTAGTACGCTTTGCTAGCCTCAGCCCATTCTGAGTTGTAGCTCCACGTGCTTTCCCGTCCTCTACAAGCCAACCTTGCTCACTGTCAAACCCAATAAAGTTCAGATGAGTCAGTCAGAAGTCAGCTGCCCATGTTTAGGATGTATCTGTTGCCGAGTTACAGGACTGAGTCAGGACAGGCCACTGAAGCCCCAGTGGCAGGCCAGATTCTCAGAGAGGTTTTCAGCAATCTATCAGGAAGGCCATAAGAATATCACGTAAGGGTTTGCCTTGGAAGTTGTGGGTGCTCCATCGGTGGAGGTTTTTAAGAAGAGATTGGATAGCCATCCCTCCAGTGGCCCACCTGGTCTGACACACAGACCACCGGAGATCAACTTTCCTGGAAAGGCTGCTTTGCTATCACCTCTTTGGTGGGCCTTTTAGAGAGCTTGGCTCCAGGGAATTTTTTTCACAAGGCCTTGAAAGTATTTCTCCTCTTAATCCAGGGGTCTTCAAACCTGGCCCTTTGATGACTTGTGGACTCAACTCCCAGAATTCCTCAGCCAGGCACGTGTGCCTGGCTCAGGAATTCTGGGAGTTGGTCCACAAGTCATCAAAGGGCCAAGTTTGAAGACCCCTGGCTTAAGCAGTTGAAGGAAAAATCTACATGATGCTCCATATATTAAAAAAATGTTCTTCCAAGAATCAGAACTACACAATTACCCGACATGAAACCTCAAAAAACATGGAGGGCACATAAGTATTTTGAGTTGTTAAGTGAGTCAAGTGGTTGTTAAGCAAATCTGGCTTTCCCCATTGGCTTTGCTTGTCAGAAACCAGCTGGGAAGGTTACAAATGTTGATCACGTGATTCTGGACACTGCAACAGTGATAAATACATGCCAGTTGCAAAGAAGCCAAATTTTGATCACTTGATCATGGGAATGCTGCAATGCTGGGCAAACCGGTTTCAAGTCACCTTTTTCAGCGCAATGTAACTTCGGTCACTAAACAAATGGTTGTAAGATGAGGACCATCTGTATGCACATTGGCCACTAGTAATAACAGAGCACCACGGTTAACCATAGTGTTTTATTAGGACATTCTGACAACTCTACTGTTGTCTCTTACGGGATGCAGTATAACCACAATCCTTGAATTACAATCTGGAACATACTTTCCTGATAATAAGTTCCAGTATACTCAAGAGGCTTATTCCCAATTCAGTCATATCTCTCCCTGGGAGCAATGAATCCATTCCATCGATCCTGGGCAGCTATTATTCTTCAAAGTTGTACTTTTTTTTGCAAATGTTGATTTAGCAGCACTGATTGCATTGCAAAGTGATAGCTTCCCATTGAGATATTTTATAGCAGAAGCTAAACAACCATCTGTTTAGAGATACATTTACAAAAATAAAAGTCCTCTGAACATGTGGGACTCACTTAGGGAGCAATTACTATATAAGCAACTCAGTTTAAGACACTAATTTTTAGGCACATTCCTTACTTCTAGGTTGGTTCTCTCCTTGATTAGTTTTTATCCACTGTTTCTTGTCTTGCCTTCTAGTGTTTTGGAAAATAGTTTGACCCTCTCGTCTTTGTAGAAGCTGCTCAAATATTAGAATATTGACCCTTTCCCTATGCTTACCTAATTGCTAAGTACAAACCTAGTTAAGCATCAAGAGTTCTCCCAAACTGAAAACTTGTTCCTTAAGATAAACTGCAGCTTCACCCATCTTTTTTTTTATTATTTTTCCAATAGCATTTCCATCTGGCCTTAATTTCAAATGGTTTTCTCTCACCCACTCACCCAAAGATTGACATAGATAAGCAATCTTCCAGAAGTACAGATTGCTTGAGCTCCTGTTGGGCTATATTGATGACAGATACTCCAGTGGTCCCTACTAACATCATACAACTAGACGTTGTATGATGGAACTCCCTGGGACACCATAGCTCAGTGACCAAAATGCTGAACAATTGTCCCATAACACCTTCATTCTGAACATGGTGCAACAGGAAGGACCAGAACCTAAACCACAATCTCCAACTATACAGGAGGGCTGAATAGTAACTTTTCAAAGGATGCCAGGTATCAGCAGCAAATACTATTTTGAGAATGAAAACTTTAAAAAGCCCATAGGGTCAACATTTTAAGCCAGAATGGTTCTCCTATAAAACCTATAAATGTGGAGGAGAAATAGAAAATAGAGGCAGATTACTGTTGCCGAAGTCTCCTTAGGATAAAAAGTATAAAGGGAAAAAAAATACCAAATGGCCTTTTCTCTATGCTTGAAAACAATCTAAAAAACACTCTTTGGTAGGAACCAGAGTAAAGAAAGACACATAAACACGTATTAACAAAACTCAAGAGAATTAGTTAAAAAGAGGCTCATAAAACACACCATTTGCTGCTTCACCCAAGAGCAAGAGGGGAAGCAGAGAGGCCCTTTCTGCTTTTGCTGAACCGGGCTCTCCAAACTTGGCAACATTTAAGACTTGGGGACTTCAACTCCCAGAATCCCCCAGCCAGCTTTGGACTTCTGGGAGCTGAAGTCCCCAAGTCTTAACGTTGCCCAGTTTGGAGAGCCCTGCTCGAAAGCAGTAGAGTCTTCCCCCCCCCCGTCGGGCGGACTGCAACTCCCAGAATCCCCGAGACAGACTGCTTGCTGGGAGTTGGAGTCCGTCCACCTTAAACCCACACCCCCGCCCCGACATCGAGAGGCCCGGCTCCAAAGCGGCGGCTCCGTCACCGGCCCTGCCAGAGACCCTCGCCCTGAGGGCCCCGAATGGCCTCTCCTGCTCCGTCCCGCTTTCCCGGCCGCTTCCCCGCCGCCTCCTCTTCCCCGAACCCGGCAACCTCGGCCAGGCCGGAGGGGACCCCGCGGAGCCCGTCCAGGCGGCAGAAGGCCCCCCACCCGGAGCCCCGCTTCTGCCCCGGCGCGGCCTGCTTCCCGCGGGGGAGCCTTCCTCACCGGGCTCCAGCAGATGAGCGCGTCCGTGTCCGGGTCCTCCACCAGCGTCCACAGCTTGGTGAGGAAGGCAGGGACGTTGCTGCCCGCTCCGCCTCCTGCCACCGCGCCGGGGGGCTCCATGCGAGCGGCGGGCGGGCGGCCCAGCCCGGGCCCGCTTCCCTGGGACGGGCAGGCCCTCCGACGGGCCCCGCTGCTGCCGCGGGAGCGGACGGCGCGGAAACCACTAGCGGCCGCGGCTGCTCCGGCCTCGCCAAAGCCCGACGCCGCGCTGCGCACTCGGTCCCTCAGAAGGAACGGGCATGGCCGCCGCCATCTTGCGACGCGCAGGCGCAACGCCGCACGCAAGCACGCACGCACGCGGCGTGCTGTCTAGACACTGTTGTGCCTCGCGCTGCGGGGGTGGCGTGGCTGTTGTAGCGCGCATGCGCCCCACCTGTTAACGGGCGCAGATGTGCGCACGCGCGGACTTTGCACCTGTTTGCGCTGTCCACGGAGCTGGCCGCAGGGAGGTCTTCGGGCGCCTCCCGCTTTCCGAGTCTCAGGAAGGGCTCTTCCCGGGACGCTGCCGGTGCCGGCAAGGGTAGTTGCAACCATCCCGATGGTCCCGAGTTGGAGGCGCTCCTTTTGCTTTCGGCTGTACGAAGAGAGAGCGAGGCAGCGTCCCGTGTTCGCGCTGCAGGTGGCAAGAAAACTGGGCGAGACGTCAGCATTTGGGGGAACCTGAGCCGATTTACATGGACCATCCAAGTCCCGAGCTTCCTTCCCCCGTTGCTCGTGCAAGCCGGTAACAGGTTAAGTCCGTTGTTCTTAAGACGTGCCCCCCATGGAGCCTAGCATGTGATCCCACGGTCCTCCACTGTTTCCCGGGGTTGGCCCAAATTCACGTTCGTTACGTCGATGACACTGTCTCCTCCTCTTCAGTCCTCGTCTCCTTTGGTCTCCCGTCTCTCCCATCGTCGGGGTCTTCTCCGAGGAGTTCTCTCTTCTCATTAGGTGGCCAAAGAATTTCAGCTTCAGCATCTGTCCTTCCAAAGGACAGGGTTGATTATTTTCTTCAGGAATGACTGATTGGATATCTTTGTAACCCGAGGGACTCTCAGGAGTCTCCTCCGGCACCACAATTCGAAAGCATCGATTCTTCGGCACTCCGTCGTTCTTGCGGTGCGCCGTTGCAAAGTTGCACAAGCTTTAGCGATCATTTCCGAATTACTTTTTGCCATCCCAATCTCCACTCCTCCAATGGCTGTATTCACCATCCCACGTTGCACAAATGACTATCATTTAGGTAGCGTCAACTCCCAGAATTCTCCAGCCAGCAGTCCCAATCAAGGACTCAGCCGCTGCATTGGGGGAGGGAATGGTTTCCCCTTGTGCCTACTGTTTAAAGGGATCTGTCTCAACGCGAGTCAAAGGCGGCCTTCTTTGTTCCCTCCCCCCCCCGCGCACTCATTTGGGATCGCCCGGCTCTTCCGGGCTTTAGCCCCACCCGCCGGTTGCTTTACTTGGACGAGCGGCCGAGGGGCGGGGCTGGGGAGAGCCAGGCGCTTCCCGGTTCCAGGGCGCATGCGCCGCGGCAGCCAGCTCGCCAACGAGAAGCGGCTCAGGGCGGAGCTAAGGACTTTGCGGACCTAGCGCGCAGGCGCCGTGCGGCGAGGGCGGCCAAGGGGCTTTCGGCGCATGCGTCTTGGCCGGTGTCCGCTGAGGTGAGCGCACGCGGTGCCGGCGGAGGAGCGCTGAGAGCGGCGGAGGCGGCCGGGTGAGCGCGGGAAGCGGGGAACAGGCGGTCCGTCGGGGCCTCAGGCGCTCCCCATGGCCGGCCCAGGCGGGGAGGGCGAAGGCCGCGCGGCCTTGCCCGGTCCGGCTGGCGGGTCTCCAGGGTCTCCCATGAAGGCGGAGGGGGGGGGAGTTCGGGTGAAGCGCGGCGCCGTTTCTCCCGCGACCTCCTGAGGGTTGGCGAGGCCTTAAGTCAGCGGCAGTTCCGAGGGACGGAGGGCTTCGGCCAGGCGTTGACGGAGGCCCCAGAGGAGGGCGAACGAAATTCCCTCAGGGTTGGGGTTGGGGGGCTCCGAACTGACGCTGTGGCGGGAGGGGGTTTTGCGAAGGAGGCGGCGCGGGCTTCCCAAGACCAGAGGGGAGGCAGTGGGCCCGGCTTATGACAGAACAACCGAGCTGGAAGGGCCCTCGGAGGTCTTCCAGTCCAGCCCCCTGCTCAGGCAGGAGACCCGAGCATCCCAGACGGGCCTGGCTCTCCAGGCTCCTCTTCAAAAGCCTCCAGCGATGGAGGCACCCACAACTACTGAAGGCAACTTCCCTTCCCTTGTGGAAAACTACTCTTACGAATTCCAGAGGATTTTAGCAGAGAGATTTATTGCGCAGGTTCAGAAGCAATAGCTACAGCAATTCTGAGCCCCGAGGGCGGGTTCAGACTTCAGTTTTATACTTTCTTTTTCTCAGGAACAAAGGAATACACATTGAAATACACACTGTAATACATGAGGTTCTTTCTCACGGGTATACAATGGAGAGTTTGCTACATACATTGGATCCGAGTGCAATGCACATTGGGTTAGTCCAGTGTTTCTCAACCTTGACCATTTTAAGGCACGTGGACTTCAACTCCCAGAATTCCACAGCCAGCAATGCTGGCTGTGGAATTCTGGGAGTTGAAGTCCACGTGCCTTAAAATGGTCAAGGTTGAGAAACACTGGGTTAGTCACATACTACTAACACAGCACTATTCCAGTAATTATGCAGACACATCATTATCCTAGTGATTGTTCTCATTATTCCACATTGCTTCCACTGGTTAATTGATCTGGGGTTATAGAACTGCAGAGCTGGGAGGGATCTTGGTGGTCTTCTAGTCCAACCCCCTGCTCAAGCAGGAGACCCTATAGTAGGGGTAGGCAACCTTGGCTCTTTTATGACTGGTGGACTTCAACGCCCAGAACTCCTGAGCCAGCCACGCTGAGGGAAAAGGGAGAGGTTTCCAAGCTGAGCCATGCTGGCTCAGGAATTCTGGGAAGTCATAAAAGAGCCTAGGTTGACTACCCCTGCCCTAGACTATCCCAGAGAAATGGCTGTCCAGTCTCTTCTTAAAAACTCCAGTGATGGAGCACCCACAACTTCTGGAGGCAAGCAGTTCCCCTGGTTTATTCCACTGGTTAATTGTTTCTCACTGTCAGGAAATTCCTCTTTAGTTCCAGGCTGCTTCTCTCCTTGATTCTTCCTAGGAGCCAGGAGGATCAACGGCCTGGCCTTAGAAGCTATCAGGAATTGCATATAGAAAATTGCAACACTGAATTTGATTTTATGCATTGAAATTTGGGGTGAAAGAAGAAATTTCCTGACAAAACAATCAGGGGAATGGGTTGCCTCCACAAATTTTGGGTACTCCATCATTGGAGGTTTTCAAAAATAGACTGGACAGCCATTTGTTAATATGATATAGGGAAGGGGTGTCCAACATTGGGAACTTTAAAACTGGCAGACTTCAATTCTCAGAATTCCTCAACCAGCGTAGCTATGGGAATTCTAGGAATGAAAGTCCACAAGTCATAAAATTCCCAAAGTTGGACAACCCTGGTATAGGGTCGCCTGCCTGAACAGGGGGTTGGACTAGAAGACCTCCAAGGTCCCTTCCAACTCTGTTATTCTGTCAGTCTGATACTTGGCAAGTGCAGACAGGATGACGATCCCGATCTGACCTTTGGGGAGAGAAATTCTGCCCAGGCCAAGGGTGGGAGAAATTTATTATCAACATCACAGTGCTTTGAATCTTGTGCTTTCCCTTCTGCAGCCCATTCTCAGGACCAAGATGTCTGAAGAAGAAGGCGATCTTCTGACAGACAGCGAGGAAAGTATCTATTCTGGACTGGAAGATTCTGGAAGTGACAGCCTTACAGAAGAGGAGGAAGACCAGGATCATGGAGCTGAGGAGAAGTCAAAAGAGGGGTTGTGCTCCAGAAATACTCAAGTAAGCTGATCATTCCAGAGGCTGGTAAAGATAAGGCTGTGTTTCTGTCTTTGAAAATCAGCCAGAAAGTTGGCTGGCAGAGCCATGAAGAGGGTTGGGGGGGGGGGTGTTCACCAGCTTTGACTGCTTGCCCCTCAGGATAACTCTGAGATCTCTCTGTTTTTTGTTTCCACTGAAACCTAAAACTCACAAAACCACAGTTGAGCCAAAATATTTGGACAGAATTTCAAGAATGCAATGGCTTGTTTAAAGATAGGGTCAGCCTTTCTCATTTCATGCACATTCGTAAGAGAACCTAAAATATCTTTGTTCAATGTGTTCCTTCTATGTTTGACAGTCTGTAAGCCTTAAAGTGAAGCTTACTTGCAAAGGGTGAGGTAGAAAATGGCTATTTTAGTGAAAGATGTAATAATGCTTTAGTCTGTTCTCATATAGGCCATATCCCAAGATTCCTGTATCATTTTTGCATCTTTATCTATTTTAACTTGTCAACTTTTGTTCTTGAATGGGCTGCTCAGGATCATGCACCATAATCAAGGGGTGGTCTCCACAGTGCTGAGCAAAGGGGACTATGGGCTTCATGCCTCTTTAATACCAGAGGTTGGACCGATGGCCCTTTTATGACTTCTGGGCTTCAACTCCCATGCTGGCTCAGATAATTCTGGGAGTTGAAGTTCACACGTCATAAAGGGGCCATCATTCCCCACCTGTTTAATATAGTGCTGCTTCTAATGTAGGCCAGAATTATGTTACTCTTTTTAACAACTATTTCATACTACTGGCTGATGTTTAGCTTGTTAATGTTGACGTCTAGGTCTCTTGCAAATATCTGTTGCAAGTATTTGTAGGTGCAGGTTTTTATATGTATGTGGATTTCTTGGGATATTTTTTGTTTAAATTATTATCAGCCTGGGGTGTCCAGGAATAGGCAGCACATAAGAGCATACATGCACATAAAAATCTTCATATTAGAGTGCAATCATGTTCGATCTTACTGGGTTTTGGCCAGATTGAACATGATTGCACTCTAATATGGAGATTTTTATATGCATGTATGTTCTTATGTGCTGCCTATTCCTGGACATCTCAGGCTGCCAATAATTCTGTATTAACAAATTTAATAAGCAACCCATCAATCTCTTTA